AGAGTGCTCTTTCCAATGGTATATTGGAAGCTAAATTTACTCTTAGATTTTATACCAAAATATAAGTTTTTCTGGAAGAAACTGGGCAGTTTGGTCGTTCTAGCTACCTGACCGTTTTCCATCAATAAAAAATACTTTTTGAATTGTTTTTTTCTGCTTAGTTTGTATAATTTGATGTATTTCGAACAAATAACGCACAAAGAATTGAGTTCATGCATGATTGTTAGGAGTTGTGGCTGATGTGCTTCCAAACCGATAGTTCTTGCAAAAGACTCCCTTTTACAAAAATTTCAATTTTCAAATGTTTTTGATTAAAGAGTCGAGAATTGATCTAAAAAATTTTACCAAAGCTGATATAAATAGTCCTTTTGATGCGGTATAATATGACGTATTTTTTGTTAGAATCCGGTCTATGTAGCTCAAAATAATTGAGAAATAAAAACTGTTCAACTTGTAAAAACGTTGCAAAAGCTTTTTTAGAGGTATTTGGCTTTTGACTTTCTCTCCTTCTGAGATTCATTTTGGAAAAATATGTCTGGTACAAAATTTGTAGTTCAGACATTGCTCTTTCCAACAAAAAAAAATTTGATTGGTTTAGAAGTTGGCAATATGGTCTAATAGAGTCGAAGATTTGTGCAAAGACTTTTGCATCGCATGTTATTTCTGATCGGAGTCATTCGATCCAATAATAATTATTGTTTCTACCTTAGTCTTTCTTCCAGCTATTTTGTGTTAAAAGATTTGCGATGATGCTTCATAGTCTGTCAGTTGGCTTCATAGTCTGAGCAGAAAGATTGAACGTCGTGTTAGCACGAAAGCAATGTAGTGCTCGGAAAGGTCTACTATGCCCGTATCATTCCTGCTCTCTTTACGTTTTACATCATACCTACGTTCATTGCCCTAGGAGCCCAACATGGTCCGCGCGGCATGCATCCTTCAGACTGATAGGGGTCTGGGTTTTCTAATTGCGCATGTATCCAATACAAAGCAGAGAAAGTCGAGGAACTGCGTTGAAGATACAATGAGTTTATTGAGCAACCCAGAAGACAAAAAATTACGTCTTCCTTTTTACAGAATCAATATTGTATATCATTCGTTTGATTTGAGGATGCGCCGATCGAAGTGATTCTCTTAGGATAGGAAGTGTCTTTTGGAAAAAAGAAAGTGCTTTTGAGTAGTTACTCATGCTGAAATACACCAAACTGATGTTGTTGTAAGAAATAGTCAACGAGGGATGATTTAAGGGTAGAGTTTTTTTCCATGATTTCCAGACATTTTTCGTAAAACACAAGGGCTCTCTGGTAGTCACCCATGTTATCATAAAGCATACCGATGTTACCGTAGGAAGGTGCCAAAGAGGGATGATCTTGGGGAAAATTTTTTCTCAGAATATCGAGAGATTTTTGGAAGTTTCGAGCTGATTCTTTGTGTAGCGCTTAATCCTTTTTCATTAATCCAAGCTGGTGATAGATATATGCTCTATCACTGTCATCAAATGTCTGTTTCAGTAGTGAAGTGTACAATTTCTCGGCCTCGTTAAATTGACCTATTTTCAGCGGCAATCTAGCCAACTGATAACTGCCAGTGCGACCTGTCGGTTCTTCTCGTATATGTTCTGTGAGTCGACGGAGTTGTTGATCGCCATTTGACGTAAGTTGTAGATCCACTTCATAAAGTGGACGATTGTTGTCAATTCTTCGAATGTCACCGATTCGAAAAACGGTGTACATGAAGAAAAGGATTTCTATTTTGTGATAACTCACCTCTCGGATGGAGGCGAACGGAATTGATGAAACGATTAAGTCAATTGACATATGGAAAAGGACACCTACCAGATCAATTTTGCCTAAAGCATCTTTAGCAAATCGAAGGGACACGCCTCAATTTTCACTCGTTGATAAAAAGTTATTGAAAGATATCAGCCCACCTTTGTTTTTCTGCAGTTTGCCAAAGTCAGCTATCGATAGGCCTTGCCCTTGGACAATTGTAAAAGTTTTCTTGTAATAATGACTGAGTTGTTGGTTGTGTAAATTCTCGATTTGTCTATGCAGATCATAAAGAAAAAAACCATTTTAATGATGGTATCCCCATCGAGTATTCGTAGTGCTCGATTGAAATATTGTAGGTGAAAAACTCACGTGTATACCACCTTATAGCTAATGATGGATGATAAGAACGTTCAAATTCATCAATAATATTTAACTTCCTCACCTTACGTACGTGCAGTTTACAGCAAGAGTTGACGAAATGTTTGATGGCTTGTGGACCATATTCCATTTTAAGAAGGGTTTCCTTGAATATTTGAGAATACATGAGCGAATGTTTCAGCTGATTAAGATTTTTGCCAGAAACTGCTTCATGCACACTGATAATGCTTACTGATATGTCGTCATGATTACATTGTTCGACAGTCATTTCTAATGATTCGCAGATGGGCTTAATTGTTGTGTAGAAACCTTTTATTTTCGTCAATTTTTTTTCCGATGTTTTAAGTTGTTCTTGATTGCGACAAAAGATATAAATGCTATCTAAATGTGGAATATCATGGATGAGGGATACCATTTGTTCACCTATAGCATCCGATACAATCAGGAATACCTACACATTATCGACGTCAGTTAGGAAGTCAACACATTCATCCGATTGGGAGAAACTGTTGATGTCGCCAACAACATTTCGCAACTGTGCAAGTGTGTTTTGATCAACTTGATTTTCTTGAAGATTATTGCTGTACAACCATATGAGCACAAAATTTTGAGTTATAAGCTGTGGTGCTTGAAGGCTTTGCAATGATGCTGTTATGTCTGTAGCGACAGCCATTGGTGATGTGGAAATTGTTTGTATGGACTTTTGTCCACTCATATCAAATATGAATTGCCGTTTGGTTGTCAATCCAGAATAGATGATAGATGTTTGTCGCTTAGGCAGAAGTAATCTTTCCTATTTATACAACCTATGCCTTATTTTTTTCTTTTATAAATTTAATCCACAATGCCATGTGTGTTTTTTATAGACACTCAACGACAAGCTTTATCTAATTTTAATTTAAAATATGGTTGTAAGAACAGAAAAACAAGAGAAACTTTATCAACGTCATGTATTGTATTATCATTCTTTCCAACTTGGATTTGCATCTCATCTGCATAATGACATGAGTGTTTGTGTATAATAAGCCTTCTCTCATTCGACGAGTCCCGAAAAAAAAGAAGACTATTCATTGTTTATTTTTCATTGATATATTCAAAACGACCTTTTTTCTCTTTATGGCTTGAATGAAAAGAAAAACCTTGTTAGGTCGTTTTTTTCATCATTTCTGTGTGTAACTTTCTCATAAAGCCAACTAAAATAAAAGAAAAGTAAATTTCATTTCCATCAAAGTAATATTGAAAGAGTATTTTTTTACTTGTTAAATGTACTGCTGCCAACTAACGAATGATTCAAGGAAAATACACTGTTCTAATTGTAACTTACCACTATAAATATACATCTCACGTTATAGGGTGTGGGCGAGTGGGACTATAGGTGTAGATGTTAGTGTAGGATGTGCGGTGTGGCTGTAACTGTGACTCTTTTGTTAGGCATATCCACACCCACACCACTAGAGATACAACGGTGATAAAAACCGTTCGTACAGTTATCGGTTTGGACCGGTGAAACAGTGACGATATATCAGTGAACGATCGTCACCGTTGCATCCAGGCACTCTCCCTTATCCACACCCTATCAAGACATTCTATTTCTATTCCAGATTATGAAAAGAGACTAATATTGAAAGAGTTGAAGATATTCCGTAACTACAATATCCAATAATAAAACTCAGAGCATATTGGTATTGTCTAAAACTGCTATATATGAAATCTTTTTTCTGACATCGATACTAGCTGAATCTTTGAATATTGGTGACGGGCAGCATAGAAGTTTATGGTATGAAAACAATCCTTCTTTCAATCATCATGTCCATACGATTATCCATCTATTCAATGAAAGTATCACGATAATGATGATATAAAACGAAGTATGCAACACTTCTATCACATACTTGTCTTATGCGTTTCATGATTGTGTTCATCTATACCTTCATTTCATCTCGATCAGTTCGTATTTCTTCGTTATTATGCTTCAACGTATCTAATTGTCCTTGTAATCTTTGAAAAACAATATTCATTTCAAAAATGGAGGATGTGAGTGTGAGTGTGGATGTACGGTGTGAGGTGGATGTGGGTGTCGATCTGGTATTCATTTACACCCGCACAACATCACCACACCCACACCCACACCCACACCCATCCTACACCTATGTTAATACTTTGGTTTAATATTCACAAATGAGGAATGGTTTCTTGTATCATGATCCACACCAGAACCTGAGAAAAATTTGCTAAAATCTTGGAAGAACTCTTGTTATTATTACTGCAAGGAGGCTAGGAAGGATCAGTAGTAAATCTTGGCAGGATTCTGTTTCAGTAATAAAGAGAAAAATCTAGTCAGGAACTTGACTTAAGTCTAAAAAATCGTATCTAACCATCATAAATCCTTGAAACAGGAATCATCAGGAGCTGAGGCAGGATCCTGAAAGATCCTTCCAGGATTTCTTGAGGACTGAACAGAATTAAGAAGAGGGTTAGTCGTTTCTCTCATAGCATCTCCACACTTACAAACTACTATTATGGTTTTTAAAAAACAAAAGAAGATTTGTCATTGAATCGATTGCATAATGGTATTAATTATAATATATATTTTATTTTTTAAATAAAACAAGAAGATCTTGACTAATAGAAAATTAAAAGTACGTTTACATCATAAAAAAAAAGTATTTTAGAAAGAAAACAAGAAATAGAATCACAACAAAAGAAAAATATCATTAAAGTAAGTCTAGTTAGTATTTTTTTTGATTTACGAACAAAAATCAGACACAGTATTAATTGTTATGAATTCCAGAACGTAGTAACTTTCTTAATACTTTTCTGTGATACACTATTTGATTCTAGAAGTTTATTTAATCACATTTCTTTAATATAACTAGGATTTTTAATATCAAGTCCAACTAATTTTTCACATGTTCTATTCCACTGATTATCAGGTAAATTGAGCTCAAAACAAGTGAATGCACAATCAGCTAAATGGATATCATAATTTTTCGCAAATGTTGCTAAAGTTTCTGATACTTTTTCTTTTGTCCAACATGTTGTATATTCTTGTCTAATATTCTCTTCATTTTTAATTCTATTCTCAGATGTATTTGCAGCTATTTTAAATAGATTCAATCTGTTCGGTTTGTATAGCATCCTATGGACGATCTCTAATTATTTCATCAGCTATATTAAAATAATATAAAACATCTACACCTTCATTTGATAAATAATTTTACTTTATTTACTAAATCTTTTTCATTATTTTCATCTGCTAGTTTTCGAGCATGTATTTTATTAGAACGCTATATGATATCTATAGACAAAAAAAAATCATTCAAATCGGAACGAAGGTAGCTGAAGAGGCTTTCTAATAACTAGGGATACCATTTTCTTGTTCACTTATTTTTAAATATTATTCATGTTCTTATAAATATTTTGTTTTTAATCAAATTAATTTATGTCAAACAAAACGATTAAATTATTGACATCTATGTATTACATATTCGATTATTCTATATGCTTTTCTTAAATACAGCCGTAACTTTTCTATTTATAAACGAAATTATCTAGGTAATTATTTTTAATTATGTAGAAATATATTGTCTTTTTGATAGAAGCTTTAGATATGATGTTCTTGAATTTTGTTCGTTCATGCTCAATATGTTGAATAGTTAAAATAGCTTAATCGATTTTAAAATCTATGATATACTTTGTCGGAGCAAGCGTTAATTTATTTTTGCCGTTCTAAATCACATATTATATCAAACTCAATCATAATTGAAATAAATAATTGAACGCTTTAGATATATTTATTAATGGATATGAAAATATGTTCAAACAACAAATACTCCTTTTATTTTAAGATTCATCAAGTAAAATAGCTAAAGGCATAACTGTTAAACGTTTTGATGGTTCAATAATAGAATGTCGATCATTCCATTGTGTAGTTCTCTTCATTACATCAAGGCATGCTTGTTTTTGTTCATTCTTATTCATTTTTGTAATAAATTTATCAATATTTTCTGGATAATCACAAGTTTTTTTCATAAATTCAATATGTTTTTTCCAATCATTTTCACATTCTTGTTTAGTTATTAAATGTCCACGTACATTATTAATGCGTTGTAATAAAATTTGATTATCATTAAAAATACGATTATATTCATTAAAACGTTGTTGATAACGTTTTAATGTAAATGTTTTTAAATTTTGTTCATATGTTTGATTTTTATCATCAATCATAGTACGTTTTCTTGCTTGTAATAAACGATCATATAATAAATTATTTTCATTTTGTATACGTTTATATTGAGTTTGTTTAACAAATTCATTTCGTATATATGATCGTTCAATTTCATTCAGATGATTTAATGATAAATAATATTGATTTGTATAAAATAAATTTTGTTGTTGTTGTTGTTGTTGACGAAGATTTGTTAAATATTTTAAATATTCTTTTTCATGAATTTCACGTATTTGACGATCATTACGTTTATGTTGAAGAACATCTTTTATTGCGAATGGCATTTTTTTTTTATTTTTTGATTTATCAATGAATCTAATTATTTAAATGAATCGTATGTTTTCTTTTTTTTTGATTAACAAGTAGATGGCAAATAAATGAGTACTAACGGTGAACGCAGAAATGTAATTATGATAGGAGAAGCAAATAAAAAAACCTCTGGCAGTTGTCATCAATAAAAAATACAGAGAAAATTTCTTTTCTTCTCCTTTTTTTTAATGTCATTAATTTTTTATTGTCGTTTTTCGTACATTAAATTAAAATAGACATATGATAATTGTTTATGAAATTCAATTAGTATTTTAAGTCAGTTTTAAAACTAAATGACAGTTATTGACATTACATTTGTGTCTAAGGGAAAAAAAACAAAGCGATTCGATCGACAAACGTATGGTTTTTTAGAAAATCAATGATTCATTTTTTAAAGTTGCTATTTTGATGTCGACTGAATATATTGTTTTGTATTCTATAGTTTAATGAGAATATAAGTGATATGGAGGAACATATTATAAAAGATAAAATGGCAAGAAAAATTTGACATTTATAATCTATTTAATCATTTGTCAATGAATGAGTTTATCCAGAAGAAAAAATCTTTATTTCTAATTAAAACAGAGCGAGGAAGTTATCACAAAAAAATTCGGATGAAATCTTAGAAAACTTTTTTATAGTGTAAATAAACTTCTATTCATTTTCCTTCATAGAAATCAATTATCATGTTTATGCAAAAGAACTATTGTTCAAAATAAACAAAAGTAAATTGCGCGACAATGATTATTACCCCTTGACTTGTGTTTAATGTATTCAGATTCAATGAATGATAGTTGATTTTGAACTAAAAAATTAAAGAAATTAATTATATGACATATATACGAAACACATATTCTAAATCAACTTTCTTATTTAACAAAACACAAACATTTAGATTGAGATAGAAAAATAAATTATTCATATTAACAGCCTATGAACTTCTGTGAAACATGTTTTTTACTATAACTAGTTTTCTTAGATTAATCACTAATTGAATTATACCGTGTGTAAAACAAAGGTTTTATTTAATTTTTCTAACCAAAGTAATAATAAACATAATATCTTTATAACAAAAATCAAGTCTTTTGTATATACATCAAAAAGAAAAACAACAAAAACAATTCAAGAACGTTTCTGTCGCCAATTATACATGCTTTGTAATTCTTTTTCTAAATCTTCATCATCATCATCGTCGTCATCATTATTTTCATTCGTTGTTTGTTTTTTTGAATTTTTTATACCTTCTTTCACCACTTTAAATCGATTATCTTTTAAATCATGCATTTGTTCGATTTTTTGCCATCGTGTACTAAAAAGAAAAATTTAAGATCACATTAGAAAAAAAAAACCATTTAAACATACATTAATTCTTCTGTCTCAATTATATCACGTTCAACTTCACGTTCAATATCATCATTGGCTTCTAATTTTTCTGATATCTAAATATAAATGAATAAGATAATTAATTTACTCATTATTTCAAAAAAACAAAGAAATTTGTACATTTGTTTCTTGTTTCATTTCACGCATAAATGCATCCCATTCAACTTCCATTTTATCAACATATTCAACTTTTCTCATACGTGCATCTAAATGTGGATCATCAAAAAATCCTTCGGGTAAAGCAGAAGACTCTTCGACTGATGTCACATTATTTGTTGTTGTGGTTGTTGTTGATGATGATGATGATGATGATTTTGTCGTTGGTTTATTAGTATTTATTTGCGATTTTGATGAATCGGAATCGAAAAAATCTTAAAAAGAAATTTTTTTTAATATTTCTTTTTTGTTTTGATAATACCGGTAGGTAATGCTGAATGTTGAGCTGTGGTTGATGAAGAAACAGAAGTTGATGGTTTGCCAACAATTACATTATCACTTGATGTAGCTGAAGAAAAGATAAGACAATAAAGGTTATTGGTTTATGTTTAACAAATTAATTATTTGATAGACATACCTACATCATGAGGACGTTTAATACCTCGTTGTTGAGTTGTAGCTGATGAAGGAGGAAATGGTTTAGTAAAAACTGAATCGGCATTAGATTGTTTGATATTTGATTTAAGTTCAAGTACTTTCTGAATATTGAAGAAAACAAATAATAATAATAATAATAGAAGAAAATTTTTTTTTTGCGGAAAATCATGCACACTTGTTTATGATCTCGTCCATTAACATGAGCTTTCCAAAATGTTTCACTAGTTAATTGTTGATTACATAATGCACAATACAATTGACCTGTATTTGTATATCTGAAAATGATTTGAGATTGTATTCATTGTTTGTTTCGTTTTTAATAAGATTTACTTCGCTAATGGTGAATCAATTCTCTTTTGTTTTTCTTGTTTCATCATTTGACGAAGTGTTGTCTTGGTATCTACTGGTTTAGACGCCATCTAAAAAAGCAAACCATATTATTATATCTAGACTTGGTTTTGTGTTTCATAGACTATTTAATAGAATTCATGTTTTTCTTCTGATTTCTGGTTCTTTTTCAAATCGGGAACAAACAATGACATATGAGGAAGTAAATGAATTTACGCGAATGCTACAAGATTTTGTGAAAGAAAAAACGAAGAAACAAAAAAAGGGAAACACATGCGCAATGAACGAAAAAAAAGAGAATGCGAGAAATAACAACAATAAAAATGTGCAGGAACTAACAGCAAAAAAATAGAAACAATGTATTTAATGAATTAGCACCAGCAATGAAATATAGAACAAGAACAAGAAATAAAGAAAGATAGGATCTGTTGAAAACAACACTGTTCGTTCAATGAGGAGAATTTTAGTGTTTCTTATCTACGACTGTTCGAAGAGAATGAAGTTCTCCTCTTAAAGTTTTAACAAATAAACAAACAAACAAAAAAAGAAAAAGAAAGATATACACTCACACAAAAGTTGGTTTTTTTTTGTTTGGTATATATACAACAAATAATAGATTATTTACACATGTATATAACAGGCCATTGTCTTTTTCTTTTGTTTTTGTTTTTCAATTTCTGATTAAGTTTTCACTGACGTTATAAATTAAACAAAATAAAAACAGACGATCAAAAAAGGAATGCTGTAAGGATTTCAATAGATAGAATCGACGTGTTAAGTTGCATAGATTCTTTTATGTTATGTTTTGTGTTTTTTTTTCAGTATGCAAAAAATAAAGATGTTAGGAAATAAAACAAAGGTACGATTGAAAATAGACCTGCTTACTATGATGGTTTCTTTTTTAAAATAAAGACAAAAACGAAAAGTAAAGAAAGACAAACGGCACTGTATAATGAAAATGTGAAAACAAATATAGATAAAGAAAGTGCAAAGCCAAATTACTGATGAACAAAAAAAAAAAAGAAAAGGAAGAAACAAAAAAAGCTCTTTCGAATAAAAACAAAGAAGAAGAGAAAGAAACAAGAAACTTTTCATAAATCTTTAAACAATTGCTCGTCTTCGATGAATATCCTGTAAAGCTGGTATAACATCATCAACTGATGCAAGACGTTCAAATATTGGTATAAGTGTTAATAATTCAGTATCATGCATATCATCAAACCAACTAGTTACAGGAACCTTTTGATAAGAAAAAAAAATATTAATAAAAAAAAAA